ACGAGTGGCCAGAATGCGGGCAACGGAGTCTCAGCCTCGGTATGTGAGTTGTGAATGCTTTAGTATTTGTCGCACTCTCTCTCTCTCTCTCTGACTCTCTCTCTCTTTCTTTCTTCTTCTCGCTCTGTGGGTCCTTTTGCATAGCTGCATTCTTTTTACACTGTCCATCGTTGTTGTGACTAAAGATTTATGTGCCAGTTGCTGCTTCAACTGTAATTTACAACAGACGCTTCGCAAATTTATGTGAAACTGTGGCTCTAACACTTCAGCAATTAAATATATACTCCATAAAAACAAAAAGAATACATAATATACATTGAGTAGTCACTCGAAATCAATTTCAGTTGAATTTGCAATCGAAACAGATAAATCGTTGAGTTTTATAATCGAACTTAACGTTAATAAATTGTTGCATTACATACAACGTTCTAGATTAGATATCAAAATGCGGGCAGCAAGCACAGCTCACGTATTGCTCTATAGCTCGAATTACAGATTAATGTTCGATGTACTGTCTGCCTGCAGCAGATGCATGGCAACAAACGGCTGCTCTCGGAGCAAGATATACGCTGCAAACTTGCAAACTTGGTTAATACTCTTAGAAAGTGTGGTCTAGTTAATCTGAAGGTGCACCACGACGCTGAAGAATTGGGTTTGATATATTAACACTTAAAGCATTTACTCAACTATCAAAAATGAGACTTCAGCCGAGTTTTTATTCTGATAGCGGCAATGTTACTTAAGGACTAAAGACACGACGTTTTGATTTCACGGTCTTAGACCCTTTGCAAGTGGCAGCTGCAGCTTCGTTGTTGCCTATTAAAACGCTGAGCTTGCGCCTCGTGCAGATTTTTATATTATTTAATTTTTTATTAATACTTAAAGCAATTAGTTAATGAATGAATGAATCTGAGAAAACGTTCAACAAAAAGTCAGAATGCATAAACTTTCATAACATTTTGTAGAGTATGACTTGGTCTGTTTTCATTTCTTTTGCCTTGCTCTGTAATAGGGGTCATGAGTCAGATGCGTAAACTTCAAAATCGACATTTTCACTAGTTTCTACAACCCCTTTTGAGACACACACATAGTTCGAGGGCGCTGGCATGGCACATGGACTAAGGCAGCGAAGGACACGAGCTTCATTTTTTGCTCCATTTGTGTGTTATGCTTTTTAGATATTCATATTTTGCCATTGATGATATTTTCACTACTTGCGTATGCATAACACGTACGTAACCCACACATACACACACACATATATATATACAAATAGACTATAGCTATAAATGTATATATATAGATATATACACATATATGTAGTGCCTGGCTGTACCTTTTGGCGTATTAACTCTACCAGCTCCAGAGTTTGTGTGTGTACGCCTCTGCTATCAAATGATTGTGCATTTGTGTGTGTGTGTGTGTGCCTTAAATTTGCATATTTTTTGACTTAACACATCCTTCAAAAAATTGCGAAACGCGTTTGCGATAGCTTTGGCATTTCCTTGACGTCTTTCCGCTTTCCGTTTTAGCTCTCCACATATTTCTGCTGTCTATTTTTTCAGCTCTTGATGTCCAGAAAGGGTAGACAGGGCACAACAGCTAAGCTGATAGCAATATAGATATATAGTTGAGTTGATATAGCTGCAACTAACTGAGTATCTGAGAAGGTACAAAAGTAGTTTGTGACTTTGATTCCCTGTTGCTTGCCCATTGCACTGTAATTTTAGTATTAGGTAAAGGATAATTTCTTTACTTATTCTATACTTCTCTAACCAAACAACTAAAATAGTTGAAAGGGTGTCTGCTCGTCGTCTGGTTGTCTGAGGGTATCTGCTTGTCTAGCTCTTTCATTTAGAGTTTTACATCTGCTGTGTTGTGCTCTATGCTGTTTTCATACGGTCTGCGGCTGTTTTCCATAATACTTTAAAGCGTGCCTTCATTTTCACCATTTGCACTCTCTCTCTCGCTCTCGCTCTGTGTCTCTCTTTGTTTCTCCTTTTGCCACATTCAAATTGAATTGTTTGCATTTTCCTCTGTTTATATTCACAAACGCATGCAAATTGGTTCACAGTTAAATTTAATGGATTAACTGGTTTTTAAATTTTTCAGTTAAATGCTGCTGCTGCTGCTGCTACTGCTTCCGTTGCTGCTCCGACTGTGGCCTGGAAGCCGCGCCTCGGCGCTGGCTCTTCAAGGCTTTCCGAGTGGCGCTAATCCTTGACTTTGCTGCTAATGCACGTCGTATGTCAAACACCAAAAACGTTTACAGCACACTACACCCAACATCTACTTTTACCCCAACTGCTGCCGCAACTACTGACTACATTGCCTGCTTTGCTTCTACACACAAGCAACGCAATTTATATGCCTTCCGCTGCCTTTTGCTTGTGTGTTTGCCTTGGCAACGTCTTTGGCTGTCTCAGCCGAAGCCGCAGCCCCAGCCTCAGCTACTGCCACTGCCGCTGCGTTCACCCGCTTTGTATGCTATGCATTTTTCTGCACTCTTGACTCTTAAGCGTGCACTTGGCCAGTCAGCCTCCCAATGTTTATATCCTCACTCCTCTTTGTCCTCAGAGCTGCCCTCATGACTGCCTCGTCAGCAGAAGCTCGTTTTCTGTGCGTTGTTTGTCTTAAGGGATATGTGCACCAAGTGCCTGACTATGTATGTGTGTGTGTATTAGTGTGTGTGTTTGCAAGCACTCTGCCGCAGGCATTTTGATAAGAAAAACAAACAGCGCGCTTAAGTCATACCAAGTGAGAAAGGGAAAGGCAGAGGGGGAGTGAGAGAGAGAGAGAGTGAGTGAGTGAGCTGCTGCAAAGCTGAGGCACATACAAGCTTAAGTGTCTTTTATGCGTTTTAATGTTGGAATTTAATTTTCAAATTAACTTGAGAAGTTTATGTGGTTTTTTTTCACTGTATGCATATATGAATGTGCTCTATGTGCCCCTCTGCTGCGTACCCCAAACTTGCGAATAATTTTCATTAATAAGGCTATATACGCAATATATATATACTCAGTGCATTTCTTTGAAGTGCGTAAAATAAAAACTACTTGACGTCTTTGAGCAAAGCTGAATGCGTTCGTACATACAATACAGTATGACTGCGTTTGAGTTTATAAATATTTAAATAATTACTAAGGAAATTTTATTAACATCAACATTTATTTTCTTTTTCATTGAGATAATATATGTCGAAAACAATCTTATAGTCAAATAATTGTATTTTCCCCATTGATATTGGAATTCAAATGTAGATATTATTATTATACTCTGAAAATTTGATACAAAAATGTTAACTTATAAGAAAAGTTACGCCATAGTAGAGCACATGCCAGCCCACGCTTATAGCAGCTCTGCGCAGAATTCCTGGTATATGTTAGTCAGGCATTGCCGACCAAAGTTTGCTTTATTGCTTATTTAAGATCTACAGTTCATTCTCATTATATTTGATTCAACTAAACATAGTCTACTTTTGTGCTTATAATAGAAATGTTTATTATTTATTATTTATTTTTGTATTTTGTATTTTGTATTTTTTATGCCTTCACCGTTTCATTTTACAATTATATTTCATTCGACTGTCACATAGATAGCTTTGTTAGCATTAGAAAAGAAATGATATAGAAGTATCTCTATCTCTCTATCATTCGCTCGTTCTCCGATTTTAAATTGCAATTGTGGCTGTTAGCAAGTTTATTTATGCCCATTACCCAGTGTCCCCTGTCGTAGTATCCACTGTACCATTTGCCACTTTCGCTTGTTAGGCTCAAATGTTGCACATAAATAAATGACAGAGCTTGTTAGGTGGCATGTGGCAAGGCAGCTGGCAACTGGCAACTGGTAACTGGCAACAAAAGTGCAGGCTAACAAGGAGTCACAAGTCAGACAAATCCCCACAGCCCCAACCGGGAAAAACAATGTAAAAGAGAGAGAGAGAGATAGGGAGAGTGGGAGAGGAAGAGAGATGCAGACTCATTAGATGGCACACACACACAGGCACACATCCATGTGTGTATATATAGCTACCTGCATAAGCTGGGCATTCAAGCAGATAAAAGTTGGGGCACGCTGCAATTGTCTTAAATTACATTTATTTCTTGCTCCAAATTGTGCAGAGAAATTTAATTTAATTGCAATTTATGTATCGTAAGTAATTAATTTAATAAAATGCCAGTCGACAAATAAATAAATAAAAAACTGTCTGCTTTAAATGGGCATTCAACTCGACCTGCATGGCATCGTTTAATAGCATTAGTGAATGCTTTTCAATATTGTGTTTCATGCGTTTGCGACCATAAATAATATGAAATTCCATTTCATATAGATTTATAGCATCTGTTCGATTCAATTGAAGTTTTGCAACTCTTTGTTTCCGCTGCCATTAATTGCTGAACAACAAATGCGGCAGCGACAAATTGAATGCTCGGAGCTGAATACCCCTACTCGGCTATTTGCATTTTTTATTATTAGCATTTCAATATTTTATTTCAGTTGCGGCTTAAGTGCAAATTTATATATATAGCTATAAATATATGCAAGTGCCAGTGCGAGTGCTCAAGGGCTTTGCATGCAATTGTAACTAAAAAATTAAATACCTTTCAATTTTATGAATTAAAATCGCATTTGCATTGTCTGCGTGTTGTTGCCGGATTTAAATATAACATTTTTTAAATACGTTTTAAATTATTTTTTACAAGTAGTTATATTAGTTCTTTTACTTAAAACGGAGTTCAAATATGTCTTACCTTTTTTCGGCACATGAAAAAATAAGAACTTGTATATTTATATACTCAGAATTAAGGTATCTATTAGTGTAACACACTCGTTTGAGTAGCACAGATCGCCTCTTATATCTGAGTGCAGCACAGATTGCTCTTTTCATTCACTACACTTCAAACATTCCTTAAATAAATTTTAATAAGCTGAATAATTTTAGCTATTATACTTGAGTTCTTTGTCAACTGCCTTAAGCATCGATCTAACATTAATTCAGAGCAGGCCATAGCAGTTATTTTCTTTCAACAAAACAATTCACAAGGCAAGAGAAAATCGTTTTCTGTTTTTTTCTAATTAACAGTGAATAATATGACGATCGATGAAGATCTGAATGGGCTGATTCTATTTTGGCACTGGGGTCCCATAGTTTCGCTGATTGTCACCGCGACCGTAACTTTCACAACCTGGCAATGGTGGCCATCGACGGAAGGGTCTTTAATATCTAACGCGTATTTTGCTTTCTATATGCTGACGACTCTGTTGTCCCTGTACAACTTCGTAAGATCAGTGCTGGTGGGGCCGGGTCTGTTGCCGCGTGGCTGGCAGCCCGAATACCCCAGAGAGGCAAAGTTCTTGCAGTACTGCAAGAAATGTGAAGGCTATAAGGCGCCACGCACCCATCATTGTCGTCGCTGTGACCGTTGTGTGATGAAAATGGATCATCATTGTCCGTGGATCAATCGCTGTGTGGGCTGGTCCAATCAGCCATATTTCATCCTTTTCCTGTTTTATTATCTGTTGAGCAATTTGCATGCCTGTGGCGTGCTCTGCTATGCTGGCCTACGATTCTTTATCGAGAGCAACAAGATGGCTCGTCGGTATCATGGAGGCAATTTGGACCTATATCTGCGACACCATTTCACTAGCATATTTATGGGTATCATGAGCTTTGGGCTGACGATCGGCATTGTACTATGCATGCTGAAGCTGTTGATCATCCAGATCGGTTCTCTGCTCAAGAATATGACCGATGTTGAGGCATGGATCGTAGCAAAGGCGAACGCTCGTCATTATCAGAAGAAATTGAAGCCATTTGTCTTCCCGTACAATCTCGGCTGGTATGCAAACCTCGGTCAGGTGTTTAACGTTGCGGAACTGCATCGCAGTCATGGCATTGACTTCCCGGTTGTCAAGGGTTGTAATCAATTCACGCTCACCATGGAACAGCTTGCACAGAAAGCAGACAAACGCAATCGTACACTCACCTACATATGCGTTCATCCATCAACTGGAAGCTGGTTGCCCATCTGGTCGCAAGGTCTGATAGTGGCGTTCAACACTCCCCTCACAGACAATCCGCGCATCAAGTTGGAGAAAAATGATCTCATAAAGGTTACGCGCAAACAGAAGCATTGGCTGTTCGGGGAGCGCGTTGTTGGCGACGATCAACGCAAGGGCGCGATTCGTGGCTGGTTTCCCAGACGCTGTGCTGTCGAGATTACCGACGGCGGAGACCCGAAAGATATGGCGTCTTCTAAGGCAAAACCAAAGGACAAGTCTCGTGCAAGCAAGCAGACAAAGTCAAACAAGATAAATTAGGGACCGAACCGAACCACTTTAATGGAGAACTCAATTTTAAACTGATATGCAAAATTGCAGCATTAATCGGCTGTGTACTTCTATTTTATTGTATGAAATATATTGTCGTAGCACAACTAAGAAGAAGAAGATGCAGTGTATATACATAATTATAGAGCCCAAGTTGAAGCTTCACAGCAAATGCGAATACATTTTCTGCAACTTCATTAGTTAATTGATGTCAACAGATAAATCATTAAACTTGTTCGCATTGCCTTCAATACTCAATGAGTTCTTGCTAACATTGTCTGGCAAGTAATTTGAACTGCCTTTGTAGCTGTATTTTTTTCTCTATGCCATGGCCAGCGTGCGCAGGAAACAGGAACTAGCGCGCGACACAAACGTGTCGTATAGTAGATGTTTTTTCGAATAGAAAAAAAAGGAAATGTAACGCAAATTTCCATTCGCAATCAGGGCCTTGAAAACTCGAAACTCTTGCAATTGCGAATGCATTGAAATTGAAATGTATGACCCGCAAAAGTTGTAAAGCATCGCGGATTCTGCTATTGTACTGGATGTACTAGCTCTATATTGAACAAGGCCATGCAAATCAATAGCTTCCTAGCCATTCAAATGGATCGTTCTGGCTGTTTTATGTGTGTAGGCGGGTGTGTATGGGTGTGAGTGAGTTTTATTTCACAGGCTTGGAAACAAACAATGCCTAGCTAATGCGGGCTATCTGTGCATTTTATGACAGTCCACAAAGTTGACTTTAAATGGAAAAACAGACAACTATTTTCGTATGGAAAATATATATAAAAAATTATATAGTTATCATTTTTATTTAGCTTAGAGATAAACTTATTTTAAAAAATGTTCTTTAGAAATTTCTTATATTTTATTGTAAGGCTTAAAATATATTCTCTATAATATTAATAAATCTATAAAACTTTTATAATTTTCCCCCTTTTCAGTTGAGCGAAATATGAATCAAACAATACACAAGTAAAATTTATCAGTAAGTCAATGTCAAAATTTATTAAAATTTTATTTCTTTTGAATATTTCTATAAAATATTTATAAAATTTATTGATTCCTTTTTCTATACAACTTATATTATTAGCATTTTGTAGCCAGCCAGACGCTGGGGAAATTATGAAAACATCTTGGCAGAAGGCAATGCAGCCAGACAGCAGGCTTTACTGCAATTGACTCCTGTCAGGCTGCATGTTTAGCTCAAAATTAGATAAATATAATTTAAATTTTATGTGTGTGTGTGTGTGTAAATTGTTGCAAGTTTTCCATTGGGAAATCAATTGACGTTGTCATGAGCTAATGGACAATGGGAATTGTTTGTGTTATGGGCCTCAGTTCATAATAGAGCAAATAAAAAAATAAATCAATTCAGAGAAATGTTTAAGTACTTGTTGAAAGGTGTGAAAGCAGAGCTTGATATAAGAGAGAGCTTTGATATAGAAGCTTCTACATGATATCGATAATTTTTCTTTGGCTTATATCTCATCATATTCTACTCCGATTGAAGCTAATGAGGATTGTGGGCTTGTAAAAGTAGCCTAAACGATTCTGTCTGCTGTAGCTCTGCTTCAGCTCTTAGTCCGAAAGCTAAGCCAAAACGGATGTGCTGCTGAAGCTCAGCTTTAGTCCAGTAAAACATTTAAATATTCACTCGTTATGATCTGTAAAGCTCTTCAAGGCTAAGCTAAGTTGTTTGCTTTTTATTTCGATTCAGTTGACAGGCAGACAGGAAACAAAATAAATTTAACATAAGCATTTGCCACAGAACTGAAATAGAAAGAAAAAGTGGAACAAGCCTTAATGACTTTTGTCGTTGCAAAATAATTGTGCGTGAATTTTATGCTGCGAGAAATGTTGCCAAGTTTTGTGTGGCCGAAAAGCCACAGCCACAGCCAAAGCGAAAGCCAAAGCCAAAGCCAAAGCCAAAAATTCAGAGCCAGGGCCCGAAGCGGTTCGCTTTCAATGTCCTGCTGACATTTAATTTCACGCACTGCCGTCTATTTTGTGCCTTGGCAACACTTTTTGACTTTTATGCGACAGACGCGTTGCGTTCCCTCCGCCGATATAGTTCGCTTTTTTTGTTTTTTCTTTTGGCAACGAGCTGTTAGTGGACTTGTTTTTCATGCCAATGCATTTGCTGTGCCATTTCTGACTGCTCGCCTCCGTCGTTGTCATGTAATGTAAGAGGAGAGCTAGAGACTTTCATTTTCCGATGCAAGGCATTGTGCTTTAAGCACAGCGCTTTGTCTGCCAACGCAATTATGCAGCACGTTAAGCGGCGACAGCATTTATCTGCGACAATGATACCTGTCCGGGTATCATTTACAGTCGCACAAAACAAAAGGTAATTATAGTGTCATTAGTGAATGCTAGAAACGGAAACTCCCCAGTGCTCAGCGCTCTCAAGTGCATAAAAGCATAAAGAAAGAAGGCCTCTCAGCTCTAGCCAAGGCAAGCCTTTATGCTATCCTATAGTCCTCATCATGGCCATCAAAAGATATCTACAAACTAACAGGGGAAACATGTATTTGATTTCTTTTTTTCTCCATTTTTTTGCAATTGTTTGCTTGTTTTAATTCCTAGTTAAATGTAATCTGCTGCTGGTCTGCTCGCTTGTTGACAAAATGTTTACGCTCAGCAACTCAGTTTTAATATGTACAGAGTGCGCTGGGAGAAAGAAAAAGAAATGGGAATAGAAATAAATGCTAAAGATGTAAAGGAGAGGAAAGTTAGTTCAGATTTAGCTATATTAAATCTAGATTAGATTTTTCTACATTTAAATTTGATTAATTTTTATTCAAATATTTTACAGCTCAATTAATTAGTGTTTACAGTTGTAAAAGCATTGATTGAATATTTTTTCAATGTCAATCACTTCAAAGTTCAATTTACCGCAATCACGTGGTGGCGGCGTGTGGGGTTGGTGTTTGGCATGGGCTATAAATTATCGAAAATTGAAATTGATATTGAGCTGCGTTTCGCTCGCGCGCCTCGCATTCAATCAATTGAAATGCCAAAAGTCGTACAAAATTTTCGCTTTCAATTCGCTTTTCGTTTTATTTCCTTCTGGCTTTTTTTTTCATCTTATATTTTGTTATTAATCTGTGTGCCCTGGAGCGTTTCGCGCCGAGCGTCGAATCAGCAACTGAATCGGGAATCAGCGCGAGATGCGGCTCACAATTCCGCATGGATTAGCACATCAAAAAAGAGAAAAGTGGAAGGAAACGAGTAGAAGAAGGCACAACGGCAGATGAGAGACTGACTTTTGAATAGACGTTCTGCATCATTGAAAGAACTGGACTGCAGCATTGATTAGAGCCTGCAGCGTGGACGGGCGAAAGTCCTTTTCACCAAAATCAAAAACGAAAACAAACAACGAAGAAATAAATAAAAAGAAAACATTTTTTCTTACGCTAGTTTCTGCCTTTGAGCTGACGTCTATATTGAGTGTTTATTTATGACGCCGGACTCCAGAGCCAAAAGTAATTTTTCATTATTTAAAATAAAGTGAATTGCAGTTCCCCCACCCTCCCCCTCTCATAGTCTCTCTCTCTCTCTCGCTCTTTCTGTCTTTAGCTTCTGCTACTCCTTTTCATTTATTCTTCATAAATAATTTATTAATTACAAAAGTTTGCTTCACTCGAAGCGCATGCAAATGCTCCCCAAACACGCCCACCAACTCTAACAATTTTTGGGGCAACAGTTGCAGCTACTGCCAAATATATATAAATATATATATATATATATATATATGTACATACACTACATATATATATATATGTACGCAATGTCCTTTTGCGTCTTGGCCTGCAAAAAGTTTTATTAGTTGAAGCTGCTGCACTCGGACTCCGACTCTGACTCGGACTCTTACTCAGACTTGGACTTGGGACAGAGCCTTTTGCTTGGTTAGTTGAATGCCTGGGCATATTTTTCATATTTTAATTGACAAAACTTTTTGTGCAACTGGACTGATGGGTTTTTGTGCCAAGTTTACGTTATATTGCACACACACACAGCCACACACTCACGTACAGCAACTTGTCAAGGATTGGGCATTTCAGTTTATCATCTTTGTTTTGCAACTGGCACTGCTGCCAGCAGCTGTCAAATTTTACTGCTGCCACAGCTGTCTAGTGGTGCAAACTCTATTATAAAATGCGATTTATTGCAATTTTTATTCAAATTCGTATATTAACAGGATGCCATAAAATGCTAGTCGACTGACTGAGTTTTGCTTAAGCTGTCAAATGCTGAACTGCATCGATTTATACAATAATTGCTTAGTTAACAATTCGCTTTCCATTTCAACTTGTGCTTTAGTTGGATAAAGCTTAAGCATGTGCTTAAAGCAATGCTAATCAAGTTTACTACCTGTTGATGAATCTTAATAATAGCCATAGAAATATCAAGCAATATATGAGCAAGTTGCTTGATAGAAAATCCCCTTATCTATCTGAAATTTGATGGCCTTGCTAACATTAACTTATCTAGCTCATTAAGATAAATTAAGAAATACTCTTTCTTCAGCCTATCTTCCCTTTTTATCGTTATAAAATGATACATAAATGCTGCAGTTAATTCTGACCACTGTCTCTAGCTCATTCAACTGTCGACCTTGGCCAGTCTTGTCTTGCCTGCGACAAGTTCTCTATGTTAATTGACACACAACTTTGGCAATATTTGAAATGCATATACTTGAGTGCGCCAGCCAGCTACCCAATTCATTATTTATGCGGCGACTTGAGCTTTAAGTGCAGCACATTTTGCATATGCCGCGACTGCAATTGTGGCAAGCCCCACACACACACATGTGTGGCAGCTGCTGCAGCACTCAAAATAATGCATTTGTCGCAGTTCGCGTTGGCAAAAACACATATAAAGCAAATATGGAAACCGTGAGTTAACCTTCTACAAGGTGTTGATATACTTGACATGTTGTCGTACATACTCCCAGACATACACACATATATATGTATATATGTATATATATGGTATATATCTGCATATGCCGTCTGGATTATTGGCTAAGACAGTTGTCAGCCCATTTACCCCATTTGTTCACTTATATAGTTGATGTCATTAATGTGTTCACTAACGAAATTAACAGTAAATTTAAGCGGCTTTGTTGTGTGC